GGGGCTTCCAAAGGGACTTGTCTCCTGTGATTCCCCCCTTTCTCCGGGGGGGGGGGAAATCTAAACTGAAAGACACCTTTTTTAAAGTCGCTTCCATCCTTTGGGCCAGTCCTCCATTATCACCCCCCCACCCCACCCCCGCTCACAGGCTGCCTATTAGAGGCAGGCTGAGTGGAATTCAAGACAGGTAGTAAGTTTTTAATAAGTTGCTGTAAGGGGAGGACCTGTCCCTGTGTTGTGCCCTGAAATGTTTTTATTAAAATAACCTTGCTGCTTTGTAAGAGTTTGGAACTTGGTGTTTGTTTTGTCTTACTTGAGGGACCCTCCTCCTCATCACAACTTTCAGTGTTGGTTCTGTACCTTCATCAGAGGGCGAGGGATCGCTCTGCTGCTCCTTCACCCTTCCCCTGCATTAAACAAGCCAGCCTACAGCCCTGCTGGGGAGGCGGAGAAGCTCGAGGCAGGCAGGCAAACCTCTGTGCCGTGGTTCCCGCACCAGATGGCGCTGCAGTGCCCCCTGCTGGAAAAGGAGTGGTCTACAACCGAGGCGCTTGATTGCAGCCAGTAGGGGGAAGGGGTCCCCTTTTGTCCACCACTGCCAAGAAAGTCCCCTTTATGCACCATTTGCAGGATATTTCAGAAAGAAAGAGGAGTTTCTGGCCCGAGAGCAGAGGGTGCTTTTGCAGGTGATGCTGGGGAGCTTTGTTCCTTGGCGCTTACAATGGCTGCCACCAGAACTGTTAACATACTGCATTTGGGGTGAAGATTGCAAAGACTTGGGGGGAAATGTTTGAGAATGTAAAAAAATGGAAACTTTGGGGAGCACTGAAAAAAGCCTGCTCTTATTCACCCAAAACTTGTATGACGGAAGTGTTTGGGACACTTTGCAGCATTAGATAATTCCTGTATATACTACATATGTGTGTGTGTGTGCTCGCGTGTACATATAGTCTTTTCAAGCATATCAAGTATGACTGATTTTATCTACCGTAGGCCATCGTGCAGGGCCCCCCAGTGTGGCGGCTGCTGCTGCCACCTGTGTTTTCAGAAAGTGAGTGGAGCCCGGTGCGTTTTTTGCCCAGCAAGGCTTCTTATTGGCCATTGGAGATTTAATGGGCTGGGCAGATTTCTAAAAAGGAGGCTTGGGCAGCAGTTGTCACCACCATGGCAATCTTGGCTGTGCCCACTATGCTGTGTCAGAATCCCAAAGGTGCTATAGTGCGTATGAAATATGGATTCATTCACTGTTTTTGGTATTACGAAGTTTAACATAGTATCCATATAGATGGCATGATAGTGTTACTGTTCAAGCAAGACCTTAAAGGTGAAGGGTTTCCCTTGCTCGAAAGCCAGTCGAGTCCGACTCTAGGGTTGCAGTGCTCATCTGAAGAGCCAGCGCTGTCCGAAGACGTTTCCGTGGTCATGCTTTTGAACTGGCAGGAGCTGGGGCCAGAGACGGGAGCCCACTCCACCACGCGGCACTAGAGGGTCTCAAAACTGCTGAACTACCGACCTTCCGGCCTGCAGCTGAGCGTCCTAACCTCTGAGCCACGGCAGCCCCTCAAACAACACCTTATGTTGCTACCAGATCATGTCTTCTCTATTTTCATCTGTTTCCCCAAGTGCCAGAGGACAAAAGCTAAGACAGGTGTACTAAAGTCCTCTTTGTCTTTAGCATGGCGTGTCCTTTTGCAGTTGTGCAAACGTGTCTGCACTGGGCTGGCACCTTCCACCATAAGTAGTATTCCGCAGACGGTGCAGTTTCAGGTTCAACTGACGATGCCTCTCAGGTTGATTTCAGAGGAGGGGGGGGGGCCCATCTGGGTCTCTCGTAGAGGAGGGGGAGGAGTCCGGGGCTACTTTGGAGACCAGCGAGGGGCCTCCCGGACTGGGACCTCGCCTTTGCACGGGGCCGGCGG